TAAAAAGAAAAAAAAAAAAAAGAAGCCATATTCCACCCAAACAGCCCCTAAAACACAGAATAAATCATCAGTAGGTTTCAGAGTGAACAAGGCCCTGAGCCCATTGAAGACCCCCCAAATTAAAAAAAACCCCAGTGTATTGCACCCAAATGCCCCCTAAAATACAGAATAAAGCAAATTTTATCCCAGTGCTCCCAGTTTGCCCCCTCCCCAGCAGGATGGGACCCATCACGACCCCCCAGTTGCACCAAGCACCAAAATTTTGTCCCCCCAGGTCTTTATTGAACCTTTTAAAATTGGAAGCACACGGTCGGGCGGGCACCTGCACGGCGCCAGGGGGCTGCAGCAGGAGGAGGAGGAGGAAGAGGGAGGAAGGATGCGGGGGGCTCAGGTGGGGGGCAGCCAGATCTTCTGGGTGCTGACGATGTTGCTGAGCTTGCCCTTGATTTTCAGGAAATGCCGCTTGAACTCCAGGCCATCGCCCTGCGTGGGGAGGGTTCCATCCATTTGCACCCACCTTGCACCCCCTTGCACGGTTTTGCATGCACTTTGCACAGTCTCGCATTGCTTTGTATGCAACTTTGCAGGGTCTTGCACCACCTGGCACGGTCTTGCACCCAATTTTGCACAGTCTTGCATCACCTTGCACCCACCTTGCACTGTCTTGCATCACTTTCCATGCAACCTTGCACACTCTTGCACCCACCTTTGCACAGTCTTGCACCCACCCTGCACTGCTTTGCAGCACTTTGCACCCACCTTGCACGGTCTTTCATATCACCCTGCAACCAATTTTGCACGGTTTTGCACCCACCTTGCACAGTCTTGCATCACTTTGCAGCCTTGCATCATCTTGCACCCCTTTGCACAGTCTTGCATCACTTTGCATGCACCCTTGCAGCACCCTGCGCCCCCGGATGCCCCCTCACCTTGGAGAGCCGAAAATCCACCAGGATCCTGCTCTCCATCTCCACCAGGTTCACCTTGAAGATCAGCTGGTTGTTCCTCCGGTCCGTGGTGGCGATGGTCACCTGCAAATGGGGAAATTCCCCAAATTATTTCCAAATGCAACAGCACCAAGGGGGGGGTTGCTCCCAGACCATAGTTTTGCACCCCAGCCCCTACCTGGTTGGTGCAACTCTGCTTCCAGCCATAGCCCATCTTCTCGCAGACCTCCTGCAGCGCACGGTACGAGCCGTCGGCGTCCAGTTTGGTGAAAAAGCGCGTCATGCGCTTCACCAGCCGCTGCCACGGGCTCTGCAAAACAATTGCAAAAAGCTGCAAATCCTGCAAGGGCTGCAAAAAGGTTGCAAAGGCTGCAAAAGGTTGCAGCCCCAGCTCTTCAAAATCCTGGCTTTAAAAAGAAATGTTGCAAGGCTGCACCCCCTGATGGTAAATGCTGTGAGTTGCATCTCCACCGGGTTGCACGGCTGGATTGGAAAGATTGCAAAGTTGCAACGCAAATGTCCGAAATGTTGCAAAGCATCAGTCCTGATATTGCAAACTTGCTCCCTCACATTTTCAATATTGCAAAATTGCTTTGCAATTTCAAAAATACAATGCAAAGTTGCACACTGATACTAAAAATACTGCAAAGCTGCACCCCAAATACTGCTCACTTGCATCCCAAGACGAAAATCCTTGCAAAGCTGCACCCCAAATATTGCAAAGCTGCATCCTGACATTGCAAACGCTGCAAAACTGCACCCCAGATATTGCAAGCTTGCATTGCGCAATGATAAACCTTGCAAAGCTGCACCCCAAACACTGCAGATACCTGGGAGGAGCCCGGGGTGCCCAGCAGCTGGCTGTTGAGCAGCATGTGCTCGGGGCAGGCAGGCTGCGAGAAGCTGATGCCCTGCACCAGTTTGTCGATGGCGGCGGCTCCGCTGTCCCAGAGCGTCCCTGCGGTGCCAGGCTCCGGCTGAGAGGTGGAGTAGCTCACCTGCTCCTCGCTGCAAGGGAAGGGAGAGGAGAGGTTAGGGTTGCAAGAAAAGGGGTTGAAAAAAAAAAAAAAAAAGAAAAGGAAAAGGATTTCAAAAGAAAGGGGGAAAAGGATTTGCAAAAAGAGAAAAGAGATTGTAAAGGGGAAAGAGATTGCAAAAAAAGGGAAAAATATTTGCAAAAGGGCGAAAGGATTTGCAAAAAAATACTGAAAAGGGGAAAGGATGGAAAAGAATTGCAAAAAGGGGGGAAAAGGATTGCAAAAGGGGGAAAGGGATTGCAGAAGGGGAAAGAAAAGGATTGCAGAAGGGAAAAGGATTACTAAAAAAAGGGGGAAAAAGATTGCAAAAGGGGACAGAATTACAAAGGGGAAAGGATTACAACGGGGAAAAAAGAGGATTGCATGAAGGGGAAAAGAACTGCAAAGCCCTGCAATGTGCAAAGACTTGCAAAGAATTGCAAAGTGCAAAGAATTGTGCCTCACCCCAGCGCGCTCTTCACCGGCGACAGATCTGTCTGGGAGCGCACGTGCTTGGACAAACCCCCGGGAGAATCGCCGATGCCGCCCGAGGAGCCGCGAGGACGCTTGACGCCTGCAAAAAAACCACCCCACAAACCACCCAATAACCCCCCCAACAAAATACCAGGGGAGGAGGGTGCAAGGGGCTCCCCGCCAGCCCCTCACCCTTTTTGAGGGGTCTGCAGTACCACCGGTCCTTGGTGATGTCGGCGATGCTGATGCGCGCCGTGGGGCTCTCCGTCAGGATTTTGTGCAGCAAAGCTGCAGGAAAGAAATTTTTTTAAAAAAATTAAAAATATTTTTTGGGGGATTGCAATTGTTTGCAGGGTTTTGCTCACCCAAAGGTGCAGAATCAATTTTCTTCCAGGGCGAGAGGTAGGTTTTGCGTTCCTTCCAGTCACTGTATTCCTCAGGCGTCGCTGGGCTGGTCCCAGGGCAGCTCTGGGGGGAACCCGCGGGGGGGGAGGCAGTTGCAGGGCTCGCCAACGCCGCACGGCGTGCAAAAGGGTCCCTTATGGATCCTGTACATCCCCCTCTGCATTTCCTACGTCTCTCCCTATGCATCCCATCTGTATAACCCTATGCATTCCACACATATAGCCCTATACATTCCATATGCACCCCTGTGTTTCCTACATCTGTTCCTATGCATCCCATACATACAGCCCTATACATTCCACATGCACCCCCTCTGCATTTCCTACGTCTCTCCCTATGCATCCCATATGTACACCCCTATGCATTCCATACATCCCCCATGCATTCCATACATACACCCCTACATATTCCATAGGTACATCCCTCTGCATTTCCTACATCTCTTCCTAGGCATTCCATACCTACACCCCTATACAATCCATACATACACCCTATACAATTCCATAGGTACACCCCTATACATTCCATAGGTACACCCCTATACAACCCACACCCCCTATACATTCTATATGTTCACCCCATACATTCCACACACACCTATACAATCCCTAGGTCCACCCCTATACAATCCATTCACCCCCCCAAACACCCTTGGCACCCCCCAAGCGTCACGCCCACCCCCGATGGATCCCATAGGTGCCCATGGGTACCCCCGGCCAG